GAAACGGCCCCGAGGCCAGCTTTCTGGTTGCAGTCGCCCCGAGTCTTTTTTAGGGTTTAGACTGACTGGTTTTTCTCTTTCTGTATCTTACGGATTTTCACGGTAGGAGATAAAGCTTTTGTTGAGTTCCTGAACGATGAGATTAAGGAAGAAAGGAAGATACAGAAGCACAAGTCCCTGCCCAAGCTGTCTGGAGGCTGGGAGCTGGAAGTGAACGGGACGGAAGCCAAGCTGGTGCGGAAAGTTGCTGGAGAAAAGTAGGTTTGGGGGGCCTGTAGGGGGCACGCGTGCGCGGGTGGGAGTGGGCCGACTGCCGGACCTGCCGGACCTGCCCTGCCTTCTCCCAGAGCCGCCTTTATTACAGCAGGTCCTTGGACACGATTTCCAGGTGGTTCGTTCGCTGCACAGGGATCTGCTGCGAGTTGGTTTAATAAGTAAGACAGTAGGGAAGGATGTCGCTGGAAGTCGGCTGGACCAGTACAGGCTGCCTGGTGAGGCTGTGCCTGATTCCAGACACGCAGATTCAGAAATTTTTTTAAGACATTTATTAGATAAAGAATGAGCACAAGCGGGGGGAGGCAGAAGGAGAGGCAGGCTCCCTGCTGAGCAGAGACACACACCCCCCCCCCACGTAGGACTCGATCCCAGGACCCTGAGATCATGACCTGAGCTGAAGGTGGACTCTCAGTTGACTGAGCCACCCAGGCGCCCCAGATTCAGAAATTCGTACAGTGCTGACCGATACAGGTTGGCCTCAGGTCTGCGGTGTGGACTCACGCACCGCGGCCTCCGCTGTGGGAACGCAGGCCCTGCCCTGGCGTTTACAGCAGGGAACACGTGACGGTGTAATCACATGTGAGCGGAGGATGACACAGGGCAGCGAGTGTCCCCGGGAGAAAGGTGGGGAACTTTCCACCAAGTTCAGCTGGTCACCGTCCCCTTTTTGAGTAGACTTCTGTGTATGTTGTAAAGTAGGGTTCTGGTTTCCTCTGCCTCCGGTGTGTGTCCATCCACCCCCACCCCCACCCCGTGACATCCCCTAAGCCATCTTTCTAGGGTGTGACTCATAGCCGGTTTGGGCTCATTATAGATACTGTTCTCATGAACAGAACCGCACCTGTGTGCCCAGGAGCTCAGCTTGGCCAGCCCGGGGACAGATGAGACCGGTTTTGTGGCTGACCGCGACACCAGCATCAGGAGAGCAGCTTCCTGGCTCCAGAGGGTGGGGGGTGGGGGTCCCGGGCGAGCCCAGGGGACCCGTGGGGCGTCGGTGCCAGAGGGCCCCTCCCTGTGGCTCCCAGTCCGACTCAGGAGCAGGGTTTGGCAGCTGAGGAGTCTTGCAGCCTAACTGTCATGAGTTGGGTGTTTCCAGTCTGCTTCGTGATTATAAAACTGCCCACTGCTATTTTGAAGAATGGATTTGGGGGCGCCAGGTGGCTCAGTCGGTTGAGCACCTGCCTTCGGCTCAGGTCGTGATCCCCGGGTCCTGGGATCGAGCCGCGCATCGGGCTCCCTGCTCCGCGGGGAACCTGCGTCTCCCTCTGCCTCTGCTGCCTCCGCCCCCACTTGTGTTCCCGCTCTCAAATGGATAAATAAAATCCTTTAAAAAAAAAAAAACGGAGACGAGCCACTTTGGGCGGCACATAGGTTTGTTGGGGAGAACCCCTCTGGGTCCTCCGCTGACGGCAGGTGACCATGGTGCCTCTCTTCCCCGCCCCGTGGGCAGATTTTCTCGGGGAAGGAGGCTTCCGTTGGGGGCCACCGTGCGCTCAGCCGCTCACCGCCAGTGGAGGGCCCCCGGGACTGCACGTGGCGGAGATGAAGCCGGGCCCGGAGCAGGGAGACTGCTGACCCCATGCCCGGATCGGTGCAGAGCTTCTGAGACATTGTTTAGTCGCACCTGTCACCGCAGCAGCGCTCGCTACTTGTCCGCCCGTTACAGTTTCAGCCCCTGGCCTGGTCTTTGCCCTTTGCAGGATCACCGTCACCTTCAACATCAACAACAGCATCCCGCCCACATTTGAAGGGGAGGAGGAGCCGTCCCAGGGGCAGAAGGTGGAAGAACAGGAGGTGAGCGCGGTGGGGGGCACGGGCCTTGATCTTTGTTCGCCACCGCTAGCAGGGGAGGGCCGGCAAGGGCACGGCCATCTCTGGGCCGCTACTCCCCGCGCAGCGGTTTCGGGCTTCGGCACCAGGACCGCGGCCCCTGCAGGCTTGGGCTCCACGCTGCAGCCTGTGTTTGCTCAGTGGGAAGGAACTGAACCCGTCTTCAGCCTTCCCAGGATCGGGAGAGGTTTGGTATCGGGATGCTTATCTGGAGCGTTTGCAAGGGAGGAACGTTCCGGCCCGGCGTGTCACGGGCTGGCAGTCAACACCCACCGCCGAAGCTGGGGCATCAGAGACTAAGGCCGGACACGGCGAGGAGGTGTTTGCCCCGGCCGCTGGCTCTCCTGCCTGGTCTGCACGTTGTGGGAGGCAGTGTGCCTGGTCTAGGGCCCGGCCAGCATTGGGGCCACAGGGTGCCCGGACTCCCTAAGCAGGTCCTGGGACTGTCTCTTGGCTGAGCACAGAGAGGACACCCCCGGGGCGCTTCTGTCCCAGCCGCCCTGGCCGCCATCGCCCTGATGCGGGACGGCTCACTGCCACAGGGACGGGCGCTGTGATTCTTGCGCCGTGAGGACGGCCGGTTAGCGGGATTCACCGGCCTGGGTCCTGGGCTGTGACAGGAAGAGCCCGAAACGGGCAGCGGAAGTGAGATCTGGGAGGTTTAAGCCAGCTTTGTAGTGCACGGATGGAAAAACGGGCCTGCGGGAGAGCAGATCAATTAACTTAGCTGGGACCCCAGCTCAGGTTTCGTCATTTGAGACCTAGGAAGTTCTGTAAACAAGTAGGGGGCTAACGGAAGCGAAACCCTGGAGACGTGTGATCCCCCACCCTCTAAAACCTGGTTCAGAACTCGGGGAAGGACCAACAGAAAGTGTAGCCCAGCCTCCTGAACGAGCTGGCGTGTGGCTTTAGTGCTGTGGAAGATTCTGGGCTCCTTGTTGAGTAGCAGGATCATGTAGGAGTTTGGAGGCGGCCAAGGGCTGTCCTAATGGTGGTGGTCGTCAGGCCCCGGGAACCGCGAGCCCCCCCCCCCCCCCCCCCCGTCCGGGCAGCGGCCTGACGCGCTCTCGCTTCCCCAGCCTGAACTGACGTCCACACCCAATTTCGTGGTGGAAGTCGTCAAGGACGGTGGCAAGAAGGCCCTGGTGTTGGACTGTCATTACCCGGAAGATGAGGTACTGTGGGCGGGGGGGGGGGCAGCAGCGTTGTGCAGCGGGGACCCGCAGAGCGGGGGAAGGGGCGAAATCTGGGGACTTCGCAGCTATAAATAGCCCAGTTTGTCCTGGGCCACGGCTTCACTTCTTCCGAACCCCGTCTGCTCTCAGGTCGGGCAAGAGGAGGAGGAGGAGAGTGACATTTTCTCCATCAGGGAGGTGAGCTTCCAGTCCGTCGGCGAGTCTGACTGGAAGGACACGAATTACACGCTCAACACCGACTCCCTGGACTGGGTGAGTGCGGGCAGGGGGGCGGGCAGGGGGGCGGGCAGGCGGGCGGCTCGGCGGCCGGCAGGGGCGCGGCCTGGGACTAGGAAGGGCCGTCTGTGCTCACAGGCCTTGTACGACCACCTGATGGATTTCCTGGCCGACCGAGGGGTGGATAACACATTCGCAGACGAGCTGGTGGAGCTCAGCACGGCCCTGGAGCACCAGGAATACATTACTTTTCTCGAGGATCTCAAAGGTTTTGTCAAGAGTCAGTAGAGCAGACCAGACGCCGGGCTTTGCCGGGGGACCAGCCTGCTCTGAAGCCAGACGCACACGTGCTTCGAGGTGGTTTCCTCCCTGATATCATGGAGAATAATTCAGATTTAAATTATTTCTGTTGCCCTCTTATTTACTCTTTGCTTATTGCTTCTCTACGACTTTTTTGCTCCGACGTTTTTGTATAACATAATGATGGACAATAAAATTGGTTTCTCTCTTCCAAGGTGCTCTGTTCTCTCTATTCTTCCCCCTTCAGCCTGCATCACAACACACCAAGAGCAGACAGTTTGAAAATTTTAATACAAAATAAGTTATAAATTAACGGCTGGTATTTACAAGGGCCTGTCTCAGGCGGAGCGAGTCCTGTTCCCAGGAGAACAAGTGGAGGCCGCTCTAGAGGATCACAGCCCACGTATCACAAGCCTGGATTTAAACAGAGAGTTCCAGTCACGAACACCATCTCCGTCCACAATTCAAGTCTCATCAGCAGGGACACGAGGCGGCTCCAGTGGGGCGTCTGCCTGCAGCGTGTGCGGCTGGGGCTCAGATCAGGTCCCAGGCATGGGCTCCAAACACTCTCCCCTCAGCACACAAGTGGCCGGTGGCTTTCGCGGCCTCGCAGGGAGGTGACCGAGGCTCCTGCAGCTGAACCCAAGACTGACGGGCACGCCCGCTGCAGGCAGAACCCGAACTCGCGGCCCCTCGGGCCAGCACGCATCCCTGGCTCTCCCCTCCCGATCGGTGGGCGTCGGAGCACAGAGCGGTCCGCTCAGACGCGCCCCCATGCTGAGGAGCCCCTGACCACTCACACGGAGGACGCCCCTGGCTTTCTGGCCGTCTAGCACACTCCACCATCCCGTGGCCACCCAGACTGCTCGTGCGTGTCCTCCCGGCTGTGCGTTACCGACGGTAAGGCCGCACGCTGCCGCCCCAGCCGTCCTGGAGTCCTCTGAGTGAAACAGGAGGCCCTCCGGCTGACCGTGGACCTCCTGGTGTAAGTGACACGTGACCTCCACTCTCCTACACAAGACTAAGCTGCATTTGTAACTATCTACCCATCTCTCTGACTTCTGCCGGGTGGGAACACCACCAACCGCTGGCGGCTCCGCCACTGGGTCCCGCAGGAGGCTTACCACGCAGCTCATGAGGAGACTGGGCGTTTCCTCGGGCCCGGCCGCGACGGAGAACACAGGTGTGTGCGGGCAGTGTGCGCTGTGCTCACTCACGCGGTCCTCCAAACAGGCTCGAAGCTTTTGCACCGTCAACTCTGGAGACTAGCAAATAAAGTTAAGCTACAGCCTGACCCCGGTCACCTCCGAGTCAACAGCTTGAAGATCCCGATTCCCCAAGGCCGGCTCGCGGGGATGGCCGGGCTCCGTGCGCCGCCGACCACGCTAACCCTTGACCTTGGTGGGCCCCTGCTCCCGCGTGAGCCGCACCAGGAGGGCACGGGGCCGCCTGCGCTACCTGAACCGCGCTGTCATACACGTCGGTAACCCGACAGGGAATGAGAACAAGGCTTTCCTCTTTTTCAACAATAAGGAATGCAACGGTCAGGAAATACTCAAACGGGAGTTGTTTAAAAAAAAAAAAAGCCGTTGAGCTACACGGAGAGGGCAAACCCTGAGTCTGCACCAGGCTCCGTGCGCCCCTCCCAGCCGTGAGCCGGGACCGCGGACCGCACTCCGGCCACACGGCCCCGCCTGAACCAGGACCTGGAGCACCAGCCGCTGGGAGCGACTGTGAAACACTCGGTGTCACCATCCGCCGCCGCAAACTTTCAGCCGCCATCACGCCACTTAGGGCCACTCGTTGTGTCTTCCCACGTGGGAACTTTGTGGGAAGGCCAGGTGCGAGTGTTTCCAGCTGTCAAGGTCTCGAGTGCGTGTGCACCGCTTTGCAGACACCCGGGTGAGCCGGCCGAGCAGCTGGGAGCAAACATGCACCACCAGATCCGGCGGCGCCAGCGAAGGGGCCTCCAGCAAGCAGACACACGTGGGAAGGGGGGACACTCACGTGCGAGGGGAGGTACAGGCCACACGGACACGTGACCACACCGCCGGACACACTCACGTTGGACCTGGAAGCAGAGCTGGGATCACAGCACGCCAGGGCCGGCACCCCGGCACCCCCAGACCTTTCCGGACAACCAGCTTCCGGGGGCACATGCCACCCACCCGTCATGCCGCAAGGGGTTTGGAATCTCTTACTTTGTGCACACAGGACAGATGAGGGGGTTTGCCTCCCACTCGGCCAGCATGACACTGAGACACTTCTCATCGAACTGCAGGCTCTTCTCATACTCCCTGAGGATGCACCACTCTGCGGGGCAAACGGCAGCTCCAGCGAGCTCCCCGCCTCCCTCCCCGGCCCGGCCGCCTGTCCTGCACGTGAAGCCTCACCCACACCAGAGAAGAATCCAGGCAGAATCCCGCTACCCATCACAAGATGTTTACTGCTCTGCCAGGCTTCGTCTCGTTGGCTCCCTCCCCTCCTGCCTGTCCTGCGTCAGCAGCGCCGGGGCTAAGGGCTGAGGACACAGAGTTCACCACCCCCCACCACCGCCGCCGCCAAGGCGACGGGAGCAGAGCAGAGAGAAGACCCTGACTGGGCACTAGGTGCTGAGTTTAAAGCCATCTGTTCCCCGACGTCCATGTGCTCAGTCTGTGTTGTTCACAATCTGTGTTCCTTCACACAGCGAGCACGGAACCACGCCGAGGATGTGGCAGGAAGGAGGGACACACGCAGAAAAGCATGAGCTCCCAGTCTACACGCCAGGGCCAGCCAACCACAGCCCGACCAGCCCACGGGCGATCTTCTAAGTCAAGTCCTACTGGAACACGGTCGTGCCCATGAGGCCTACGACTGTTTTACACCAGAGCAGGACCGAATCGCTGCCCCAGAGACCGTATGGATCACAAAGCCTTGACATTTACCACCCGGCCGAGAAGGGCATCTTCGCAGTCGGGCTGACGGTCTGTCCTCCCGCACCCTCCTGGGGCAGCCGCCACTTACTGGCGAGGCTCTGGCTCTTGTCCACACGCTACGTAAGCCTACAAACTTAGAGGGCAGGTCTATGATGTCTCTTACAGGAAATAACAACAAAGCCAGGGCCCAACAGGGCTCAGTGACACAGGTGCTAGGCCGTACCCCGCGGCCCTAGTGATGCCCCAGGGGGTGGGCGCCACGAGCGCCCCGGGAGGCAGCAGGGAACGGCTGCGAGGGAAGGCAGTCAAAGTAGGTGACGTGAGCACTCTGATCTCGACTGCGTCCCGTACGGTGACAGGACTGCTATTCAGCTATTAATGGAGAAGCACCAGAGAACAGAATAAACACAGGACCTGGACTCGCCACACGGAGGCGGCTTCTCAGCCCCACCACTCGCTGAGCCGCCCGCACCCCTCTCCTGTCTCACGCTAGCTGGTCAGCTTAGTCAGCAGGAGAAAGCAATCGCACAGAACGCGGAGTCCGGGCACCAGGCCCAGTCACAACAGACTCTCGGGAAGAGCCAAGACTCCGGAGTAAAAGCAGGGACTTCTGACACCCGCCTGGAGCAAGGCACAGAGCGGGGGCAGTTAAGAAGGAATTCTGCTTTGGAAAGCGCTCAGCGCTCCAGTAGCTAGGTGCAGGTGGAAGGACACTCCCAGAGGTCACCTTGGTCAGCCATCTCCTGCTGGATTTCCTCGAGCTCAGCCACGTCCAACAGCTCCTCCAACTGCAAGAGAAAGTGCAGTTCTGATCAGTCGGCAAGTCCCACAGTGACTGAGGCTTGGGAGGCTGGCCCGAAGGACTCCGCTTTAACTGAGATCTGTCCTGAGATCTGAGATCCCTTCTCTAGGATATGCTGACGACGTGCTAACGGGATCCCCCTGAGAAGTCATCAGCATGATTAAACCACCCAGTAACAAAATAAGGGCCCCAAATTTGGGGGGAGAGGGTAGAGGGCAGCGGCTAAGTACTTGTCCTGCCAAAGCTCGGAGCTGCTGGGGGGAGTTCCTAACCCCGTAAACCTCACTTCAGGCCTCTGTCAAGTGGGAAGAGACCTGAATGGGCCCTTGTGAGCACTAAATAGGACCATGTAACCCAGACGTCCGGCCTGCGCTGGGACACACGGGAGGCACCCGATGACGCATCGTGACTACAGACAGCCCTGATGTTTTCAGAGCAGTTTGCCAAGCTTCTCTTATATCAATGTGCTGACCACGCTCTCTTCTTCCTCGTACAAACGTGGAAGCGAAGCTCGGAGGCACAGGACAGGTAAGGGTCGAAAGCACAACCGGCGTCAGAATTCCAGAAGCACTGACATCCAAGCCAGGGCTCTTCCTCGTGCAGGGTAAATGGTTTCCGGTCCACACCCAGCCCCCGACTCTGGCCAAGATGAGAGTCAGAGAGCTCCTGGACTCCCTCTTCAAGAGAGAGGTTGCTAGCCCATGCCTGCTGAATCAACATTTCCAGCAGGGGAGCCCAGGGGTGAAACATCTTTCTTTTTAGCTTCACAGATGCAATGATGCAGCAGATTGGTAGAGTCCGGTATTTATGAACCATGAACCTAGAAGAGTCTAACCTTAAAGACGGAAAAGCCTGGGTTCGAGGCAATTGGAATCCTGACTGGGGGCTGGAGGGTGGAAGGTGGATGGGTTCAGAGGACTTGGGGGTACAGGGCACTCTTGGTGCTGTAGCACCTTCCCCGGAAACACATATCCCAGCCTGACCTGGGTCAAGACCTCTGGACAGCTGTCCACAGACTGCAAAGCACTCCACTCTTCTTCCATCACCTCCTGCACCAGAAGGGTGTTCTGAGATCTCCTTGGCATACTGCCTCCAGCCTGGCGGTATCTGTTCAGGAGCCTGTCCCGGCTGTTTCTCATTCTCTCCAGGCATCCCTTGGAAGGAGAAAGACAGGGAGTGAGTCCAGTAAACAAACAAACGAACAAACAAAACAGATTCTTAGGGGCGCCTGGGTGGCCCAGTCGTTAAGCGTCCGCCTTTGGCTCAGGTCATGATCTCGGGGTTCCTGGGATCAAGTCCCGAGTTGGGCTCCCTGCTCAGCGGGGAGTCTGCTTCTCCCTCTGCCTCTGCCCTTGCCTCCCCGCCCCAGACTTATGTTCTCTCTTTCTCTAAAAAAAATTTTTTTTTCTTAGACTAGATGCTAAATCATTAACAGAAATTTATAGACACAAAATTTCAACTACAGCCCTAATTACTATTATTTTTGCATATGCATATTTTGCATATGTTTGCATATTTACGCATATTTGCATACGCGTTATATTTGCATGTTTTGCATATATTGCGTATTTGCGGAAATATTGCATATTTCTGTCCAGTCCTTATCCACAGACAGGTGAAATTATCATGCTTTGTTTATGTATTCTGATCACCACATTCAGATTTTGTTTTATTTATTTTAAGAAGAGAGAGAGACGGAAAGAGCGTGAGCTGGGGGTGGAGCAGAGGGAGCGGGGGAAGGACAGGGAAAGAATCTCAAGCAGATTCAGAGCTGAGCCTGAGCACGACGGGGGGCCCCGATTTCACCATCCTGAAATCGTGACCTGAGCCGAAACCAAGAAGAGTCCGTCGCCCAACTGACTGAGCCACCCAGGTGCCCCCAGATCACCATATTTTATAGCCAACCTTGATCAAGGGCAGCGTCCTTCACGGTTGGGTAATACCAGCTCAGCACCTGCTGCGCTACGACAGGACGTTCAGGTTACACCCACGTTCCTGCTGCTTTGGATATGGCTACCGGAGCCGCTGTCGTGCACAAGGTTTCTCAGCCTGGGGCGATTTCATCCCTCACGGGGCTCGGGGCAATGCCTGGAGGCCCTCCTGCTGTCCCCTTAGTTTTAGGACTACTGGCATCTAGCGGGCAGAGGCCCGGGATGCTGCTAACCCTTCTACGACGCAGGGAACAGCGCCCCCAGCACCGAAGGCCCGTCGGGCCCGGGACGTCAACAGCGCAGGCTGGGAGGCCCCCGCGGTCGGCGGTCATTCCCAGCATCCGACTCTTCGACGGCGGCACACGCGCCCGCCCCTTCAGAGATTCCCGGGGACCGCGCTGATGTCACAACAGGTCAGAAGGGACGCAGGCGCGCGCTGCCGCTGGGACTCGGTTCGAACTAGACCAAATCTCCCGTCTGGAGCAGAACCTCCCGCTCGCAGGGGGGGGTGAGCCGAGCGCCTCCCGACCCCCGACCCCGACCCCGACCCCAGCGGGTGGTGGTGGCAGCGCACAGGTGCACCCGCGGCGTGCTGGCACTGGGCCGGCTCCCACGACCCCGCACGCAGGGCCCAGAAGCTCCGGCGGCGACCGGGTCCAGCGCAGCCCGGTCCGGTGCCGCTCCGCGGCCGCTGCCGCCGCCGCCCGGCGCTCCCCCAACCTGCCTCGCCCGGCGCGCGGGACGGCGGCTGCCCGGGCCGGCCCAGCCGAGGCTTCCCAAACCCCACGCCCACCTGCCGGAAAACCTCTTTCCACGGCGCCGAGCCCAGCGCTTTGTACAGCGAGCGGCGCCGGGAGCCCGGCGCCTCGGCCATCTCCTCTCGGCGGGCGTCGCCGCCAGGAAGCCCCGCCCCCTGGGCGCGCAGAACCCTGGGAGTTGTAGTTTCCGGGCGCTCCCCGCGCCCGTCCGCGGGGCGTTCTGGGAGGGGCGGTCCCACCGGCCGGACCCCGAGGATGCGGGGCCGTAGTGGCATTTGTGAGGTCAAGCCAACCCGGAGTAAGGGAGGTGAGGCTCGAGGGAAGCTTTCGGACGTCTAGGCTCAGCCAGGCGGAGGTGCCCAAGCAGCAGAGACGCGGCTCTCAGGCTGTCCCCCGGGAGGCTGGCCCTCCCGAGGCGGTGCCCCCGCCTGACGGCCGGCCCTCCCCGCCGCCCCGCCCCCGCGGCCCGTGTGCTTCCGGGCTGCCCGCTCGCTGATTGGTCGGAACGCGGCCGGCCGGCCGCCGATTGGCTGCGCTCAGCGGCGCGCGGAGTCACGGGGGCGACGCGCGCAGTGGGGCCAAGATGGCGGCCGCCGAAAGCCCCGCGGGCGACGCGGAGCCGTGGCAGGCCTGGCTTCCCAACCACGCCGTGTTCCTGCGGCTCCGCGAGGGGCTGAGGAACCGGAGCCCGGCCGACGCTGAGAAGCCGGCGTCTTCGTCGCCGCCGCTGACGAGGAACCTGGTCTTGGGCCTGGGCGGAGAGCTCTTCCTGTGGGACGGCGACGGCAGCTCGTTCCTGGTGGTCCGCCTGCGGGGCCTCGGCGGCGCGGGCGAGGAGCCCTCCCTGTCCCAGTACCAGGTAGGGCCGGGGCCGGCCTCCCCGCGCGTCCCGGCGGGCGGGCGGGCGGGCGTGCGGGGCGGCGGCGCGGCCGGGGTCTTCGCGCCGCTCTCCGTGCCGCCCCGGCGGGGCCGCCTTGGCAGCCTCTCCTTCCCGGGTGCCGTCCCCTCCGCAGAGGTCTGCCGGCTCCGACACGCTCTCGGGGCGTTGGGGTTCCTGGGGGGCCCGGGGGGGAAGGGCCGTGCAGAGGCCGGCGGAGCCGGTGCTCGGAAGGGAGACGTCGCGGGAGAGCGGGCGGCGGGCGGGGCAGCCCCAGGTCCAGCCCCGATCCTTGCTGCGGGGTTGCTGTGAGCGCCGAGTCGGGGCAGGTTTGAAGGCGGCGGGGCTCGAGTTCTGTGCCTGGGGCGGGACAGAATCCCCTGGCGGTCCCTTCTCCTCCCTTCTAGAAGGTGAGCCCATTCCCAGAGTTGGACGGGAGTTTTGCGGGGTGTCGGTCAGCGGGCAGCACGTGAAAGTGGGTGGAGGCGGCCTTCCAGGCCTGCGGTCAGACGCTGCCTGCAGACGTCCGTCTGTAACAAACGGATCCCGGCTGTTTTTAAAGATTGGAAAAAATAATAACGTGATACCTGCTCTGACGCGTATGCCTTGTGTTGTGAGCCACGGACCGACTCTTGTTGACGAGAAAGGATTGGATCTTGGCAAGGTGCTGGCCGTGCTTCTGCAGTCCTGGAAGCCGGTCGCGAGAGGACAGTCTGCTTCCTAACGAGCACTGGGTGGGCATCGGTTGGAACGGGCGGTGGGCCGCTCGGCCACAGCAGTGAGGCAGGCTTGCAGACCTCAGTCACGAGCCGCGGAAATCTCACTGTGTGCAGAACGGCCTAGTTACGGTGGTAAAGGCTGAGGGTGAGTCTCCCCTTGCGGGAGGGTAAGTGATACGTTGGCCGTCTCCTGGTTTACGAGTGAAAGTGGAAAGGACAGAAGATGGCAGTGTGATGTGGGCAGGAGAGAAGCAGAACGTGCCCGCAGAAGAAGTGCGTCGTTGTGAGGGCTGGCGACGCTGAGACGAGCAGCTCCTCAGAAGCCCGGAAAATGCCGCGTGGGTCCAGCAGTGTTTTACCAGCTGCAGGAGCTCTTGAAGCTGCTCTCTGTCTCCCTGGACTGTTTCTGATATAGCACAGCAGCTGTCTTTTACGAACGCTGCTGAGTTCATTTCTCGCTTCCCTGAAACACGTCAGAGACAGCACTGTGCCGCGTGCTGTGCCGAGGGTAAGTGAGGAAGGACACAGCTCTCAGGAATTCACAGCCAGCTGTGCGGTGCGGGGTGGTCAACTGAAAGGATGACTCGAATGCAGGGTGACAAGAACTATGACGGTTTTCCAGAGCACAGAGAAGACGCACGTACCCCTGGCCGGGAGATCAGCGGAGTGTCTCTCGAGGTCTCCTGGACCGTGACAGCCAGCCACGAAAGGAGAAGGAAGAGCCGTCGAGACACACAGAGGCTGGCAGAGCGTGGTGGCTTCGCGGACACAGGCTGACCTGATGGGGTGTAGAGACTGTCAGGGGCAGGCTGGAGTTCGGTCACAAAAAGAGAAATGATGTGTAGAGGTTATTTTTCAAGGTGGGGAAATCTGGTGCATTCCATGTTACATTCTAATCTCAGCGGTTAAAAAGTTTCTCATCAGTTCTTAGCCGGGGTGTTAGCACTTACCCAGAATGCTTCATTGCTCTGCAGTTCCCAGCGGGGAGAGCAGCACCTGCCTCGGTTGCTGGTACTAAACCATACGTCCTGTCCTGACAGGCGCCGGGGCTCAGGCAGGGGGGCGTCGGCCTTCGGCTCAGGGCGTGGTCCCGGGGTCCTGGGATCGATCCCCGCGTCAGGCTCCCTGCTCAGCGGGGAGCCTGCTTCTCCCTCTCCCTCTGCCGCTCCCCCTGCTCATGCTCGCTCGCTCTCTGTCAAATAAGTAAAGAACATCTTGAAAAGAAAACTGTACCATGACGGTTGTGCTTTCAGGTACCTCGCATACATATTTACTGTGAAATGAGCTGTTTTAACCAGTTTGCTTTATTCCCCAGAGATTGCTGTGCATCAATCCGCCCCTGTTTGAAATCTCTCAAGTCCTGTTAAGTCCAACACAGCATCACATAGCCCTTACAGGGGTAAGAGGACTTACAGTATTAGAACTGCCTAAAAGATGGGGGAAGAATTCTGAATTCGAAGGTGGAAAATCAACAGTGAACTGTAGGTAAGTTGTATTTCCGTTTATCGTTTGTCTAGTTTGTAACACGTGCGGACAGTCGTTCAAGCGCCGTGGTGGTCCGTAAGCTGCATTTTCTGTGCCGCTGACCCAACACCGCGTGCTCTGGGCTTCCTGCTGTCATGTCTGCGTGACCTGCATTTCTTCTGCCCGGCTGACCACTGCTGTCCCACCGGAGTTCCGCTCCTTCATGTGGGCAGAAATAAGATAACTTTTGAGAAGCAGTTACTATGTATGAGTCTCGGGTTTAAGTTTAACTAAGTTTAATTTTTGTATCTTTTTCAACTATCCGCAAACGGGAGAGTCTGTGAAAGATCTGTTGAAAAGAGTGTGAGATAGAAACCACCTTTAGCTCCCCAACGTGGTTCCCTGAAAATATTCCCTTGCTAAAATGTGTCTCCCCGTTTCCACAGTTGGATCAGTCATGTTTACCCTGTAGTTCTCTCACCAGGCCAGTAAAGGGATCAAATCAGTTAGTGTATCTCAAGTCACTTGTAAAAGTATGGTCGAAAATACACTGTGATTTAGAAAATGGTTGTTTCGATCCTCACTTGTATTGACTGAACAGATGCTTTGACTGCTCTTCTCAGCAAAATTTGAGAGAGAAATGAAGGAAAGAAGAGTAAAGAGTGTTAAAACAGATTTTCCTGTAGAAGATCTTTGGTCCACATTCTACAGAATGTTTTGGAAAAACTGTTGTCTTTATTGTAGTACGACTCCCGTTGCTGAGAGATTTTTCACCAGTTCTACGTCTCTGACTCTGAAGCATGCCGCTTGGTACCCCAGTGAGCTGCTGGACCCCCACGTCGTGCTGTTGACTTCAGACAACGTGATAAGGTGCAGTGTCTCGATCTCTGCAGCTTCATGCGGGGACGGCTGTGGTGCCATGGGTTGGGTCACTGGCTGTCGCATTGCCCTGTCTCAGGCTGCTGTAGGCACTCGGGCCCAGCAGGCTGTCTGACGGCCCTGACTGCCTGGCCTTGGTTACTGCTCGTCCGCCCAGCCAGGCCTCTCGCCTCCAGTCTCTCCTTCACTAACTCTCCCGAGAGAGCCCGCCTCTCATCCTGTCGCTCTGCTGGAGGCGATGCCCCGTGGGGAGAAGAGAATATAACTGGGGGTTGAGAGATCTGAATTCTTGTCCCAACGCGCCACTTAAACTTGAGGGGAGCCTCAGTTCTAATTTTGTAAAATGAACCGGTTTGATCTGACAGGTTTTGAACTCTCTGACTAAAGGCCCTCATCCTGCAGAGATTTCTGTAATATTATCAGTTAACTTTCTGGATCTAATTTAGGTAAAACATGGAAGGGGGGTGGGGACTCAGCTGAGGTACAGATAGTGTTATTTTTCCTAATCACTGCTTTTAACCATGCTCCACCAGCTCTCCCTTCTCTGCTGAAGGCTTGCCCCCTGACTGGCCTCTTAAACAGATCTCATCGCTCTCTGGTTACATTCGGTTATTAAACTTGGTGTGTCCAGTTTAAAGCTGCGATGTCCAGTCCATACCCTCTCTGGGTCCCGGCCTGTCGCACAGGCCG